AGATAATTACAAACAACTGTTATTCAGAAGTCAGAATTGTGTGCTATATCCATAACCACCTCAAGTTCAAAAATCTGAGTGTACTGTACATCAATTTGAACACATGTTGAGATTTCTCAATCTTTCCAATCCAAGGACCCTCCTAGTGAGTATCTATTATCATCAGCCCACATAAGGTTTTGGATGCATCGATAATTCCTCCTCCTCCTCTTCCTCCTCCTCCTCCTCCTCCTCTTCCTTCCCCTTCCTATAATAGTAATAGTACTACTATTGCTACTAAAAACCAACTTGAAAGAGATATCTCAGCCCTGATTTTTTTCTGTGTATAATTTACTTGTTCAAATTTTGATTCTGCCAGAATTTGCTTGGCTGTTTTATGATGGTTCTATGGTCAGTCCTCTTTCCCATTTGGAACATAAAATAACAACTCTAATGTGTCTTACTTGGCATCTTGAGGCACAATAAGTGGAATAATAACTGGGACACACCATACTACTGTTCTGTGTTAGAAATCCAACAACTAGCCATGCCTTTCTTCAGGATGCTGTGTTCCATTCAACTCCCTTCTTCTTAAGAAAAATATCCAGTGATCAGCAGAAATGTTTATTCATCCCTGGGCTGTTCTGTTTGCAGAAACCTCTTGTATTTTTGTGGATACTGTTGAATCTATACTTCACAAAAAAGAACATGTCACTACTATCATTACTAGTATTGAGTACTAGTATACATTCTTAGTATTGTGGCCCAAATAGGAAATCCAGTTTGCTCAAGAAATTCTAATCTTATTGATTTCTAGAATTGTTTTCCCATGTCTCTAGGCTTCAGTGGAGAATTTTGGATGACTACAATGATCTGAGGTGGTATTTGAAGGTGCTGTTTGTGCCTGATGATTGGACAAATATTTGTATATCTCCACAAGTCCTGTTTGCCCATGCAAAGATGGTGACTGATGGTCCAGGATAGGAACATTAATGTCCTTGACCTGACCATTGCCCACTGGGCAGGTAGCTTCTTTCCTCTTTCAAATCAAAAGTATTTTCTAACTTCTACCAGCATAAGCTATGCAGTGTGGAATGTTTGTGCCCGTTTATTTCATTGTAGGTAATGCCCCCAGTCCTGTTTGGCTAGTGTATGGTTTGCCTAACTGTCTTCAGAAGGAATATTCCCACCTCTATCCTGACTGTGCTTCACTTTGTGAAACATCTCAGGTCTGAGAAGGACTCCATCTACACCTGGAAAGACCAATACTTTGGGACATGGGCACAACAGTCTGTCCTGGTAAGACCCCAGTTTACTACCGAATGAGGTGCAATGAGCGAGCAATGGGATAGCTGCTTTAACATGCTTGTCCCCTTTTTATCCCCCGACAGAGGAAATTCAAGGTAGCTGCAGTAAGGCAGAGCTATTTTGCCTGCTCTAACACCTTTTTCTACACTCTCTGGGATACTTCTGGGCGCAGGTGCTACAGCCCCTTGCTGCCATTTTTGGGCTTGACCTATTTGGAAGCCAGGATGAAATTGGCAAGTGTTCTACCAGTTTCCCCTTCTACCATGGGGAACTAGATGATGGTAAACGTTTCTACAGGTCTTCTGCAAAACTGGTAAATGTGAACCATAGGGAATTCGTCTCACATCACTTCTCTGACCTGTCAACCTGTCAGTTGGGCTGGTTTTTTTTTAATATATAGGGTTACCAGTATTGCAGGACACCAATTGGCATTGGATTAAGTTACCTCAGGAACTCTCTCACGCCAATGGGATTGGCCTTGTCTCACTTGCCGCAGAAGAGGTTGAGGAATTTCAGATGATGGGGAATTTCAGATGAAGAGAGTCTTTTCTGGTGAGGCCTTTCATCCTTTGGAACTTTACTGCTAGAAGTGAAATTCACCCCTATCCTTTTGGACTTCTGGAAGGGTCTCCAAACTTGGCTGGACTCTAGTGAGGGAACTTTATACTGGAGGTGGATGGTGGAGTTAGGGAGAGCTCACTTCTGTACTGTTCATATACCTAGTACCTAGTTTGATCTAATTCTTGTGGATCTTAATTTTTTTATATTCATTCATTCTTTTCTATGGACTCTCACCTCAGTCAATGACTGTACGTGGGAGTGTCCTTGAAGAAGACTCGGAAGCTACAGTTTGTTCAGGTTGCCTGAGTAGCTATGTCCATGTCACACCATTACTTGGCCAGCTATACTGAGTACCAATAGGCTTTCCGGTGCAATGCAAAATGGATATAAAGCAGGGGTGTCACAGCATCACGTGACGTATTGGGACTTTCCCCACCCCTTTGCTAAACTGGGCATGGGCAGCATATGACGCATCTGGCCCATGGGCCAGGAGTTTGATAGCCTTGTTATAAAGCCCTATGTGGCCAAGTTATTTGCAGGATATACCTTCTCCCCAGGCTATCCACCTACTCCACATGCTCCAATAGGGTGCATAGTCACCTCTATCTTATGGAATGAACTTCCTCCTGACCTTCAGTTGACCCTGACCATGACAGCCTTTAAAAGGCCCTGGCTCTTTGGATCATGATATGTTGGTATTCTGATTAGATGATGGTGCATTCACTCAGAATTGTATTACTTTATACTTTAAGTATAAAGTATATTACACTTTCGGTACTCATGTTTTATTGAAGCTGGGCAGCCATTCACATTTTAAACAAATATATAAAATTCAAAACCTTTGAATGGAACATTTTATGTGAATATAGAATTGCAAAGCAGTCACTAAATGTGGTAAAAGCAGTCTATGAAAGAGGTAAACCGCGCACAGGACTATATTAAATGCATGGCGGATGGTTCAACATTTACTAGGATGTTTAACAGGAAAAGGTAATGTCCCTTTGGTTTTTAGAACGTGTTTGGGAAAGACAATGTGTTTGCACTTAAAAATAATAATAAACAGGGCATCGCTGTGCTCTTGGCTGAGAATCCAAATGATCTACAGAGGATGATAGATTCTGTGATATAATGGAGGGATGTCAAACTCAAGGCCGGAGGGCCAGATCCAACCCGTGGGGTGCTTAGATCTGGCCTGCGGAAGCCAGCCTGGAAACAGTGAAGGACCGGCCCACAGTGCCTCCGCCAGCAAAAACAGAAGTCAGGCGGGCCGTGCGTGGCTCTCCCAAGCTCCGTTTTCACTGACAGAGCACTGCAGGAGGCCATCGCAGCCGAAAACGGAGCCTGGGAGGGTTGTCCCCGGCACAAGTGATGTCGGGCTAGCCATGCCCACCCCAGCCACACCCACCCAGCCCCCAAGGTCAAACATAACTCTGATTGGCCCTCAATGAAATCGAATTTGACACCCCTGTTTTAACGAGAAGCTTAGATCTGAACTACTTTTTTCTCTTCTAGTATGGGATATAATTCACAGACGTAATCACATCCAAGACAATCTCCAGCCTCTCCAATCTCTTTGCAGAATACTTAGACTATTCTCTTCTGTTTGACCATTTAACATTTTCTCTATCATGATTATTGATAACCTCTAAAAGTGGGTGACATACTATTACACTTTTTTTAAAAAAACAACAACACCCTGGAGCTTTTATTGAATATATTCCACTGAGAAAAGCAGTCAAACATGAAACTTCATCAAGATACTTAATATACAATAACATATTTTTGCCAGTAGTATTTGGGGGGAATTTTCAACATTATTATAGCACAGTAGCCATTATTAATTCTGTCTTAATCTTGAAATAACTTCTGTACATTCCAATATACTTTTAATAGTCCTCCACTGTTGAAGTATTAAAAAGGATTAAAGAAACAGTTAACAGCTACTCTGAGACAAACACCAGGGTGATAAATACTGCAACGTTGTCTGTAATATTTTTCCATCAGTTGATTCAAATAGACGTTTGAGTGGAACCTCTTTTAAAAATCAGTTCTAAATGAAGATATACGCACGAGAGCAGCAACCTTGCATACCATCAGAGCCTGGCTTAATTTGGGTGCAACGTTTTCTCACTGCTGAAGAACAGAGCTGCTATTTTAAACAGCCCCCTTCTTCTGCTACAGGTCTGGCTGTAGTGAAACCAGAACTCCTGTTGAATACCAGTCGCTCCCTGGGGTACACATTCCCCACATATACATTTTAGAAAAACCCTATATAATTTGAAAAGTGCAGCTGTGCCAAACCCTGTCTTTGCTGGCAGCCTGAAGAACAGGAATCTGTAGAAGTGGTATTTGGCCATGAGAGTGCGGCATGCTCTTTTTCACACCGCAGGGAAAAGAGTGAGTAGGCCCTTCACATAATAAAGACAATATCAACCATGACTATATAACAGTGTTGGCAAACCTTTTTGGTACTAGGTGCCAAAATGGGAGCACATGCGGGGTGGGGAGTGCCGGAAAGTGGAAGAGCAGCTCCCTGGCGTGTATGCGCACGCTGAGAAACTAAGCTTCCAGTTTTTCAGGGGTGGGATTCAAATTTTTTAACAACTAGTTCTGTGGGCGTGGCTTAGTTGGTGGGCATGGCTTGGTGGTCATGTGACTGGCTGGGTCTGGCCAACACAACATCACTCACATCGAGGCATGCATCTCCTCACCTGGCCTCTCATGACTTTGGGGATGCTGCAACAGTCATAAGTGTGAAAAATAAGTCACTTTTTTCAGTGCCATTGTAACTTTGAATGGTCACTCCACACAAGCAAAGTACCAGCAAAAGAGGAAAAAAAACTCCAGAGAAGTTTCAGAGACAGGAATTCTAGTCCTGCCAAGAATGTAATAAGGGTTAATGGAGAGGCAAGTTCTGTAAGTAACACCAGGATGTTTCCTTCCTGCCTTCCTTACAGGATTAGGCCAACAGGTTCTCCAAACTGCTTAGAATGTCAACAACCGGTTCTAGAAAACAGGTGTGAACCTGTAGAATCCCGCCCCTGCAATTTTTGGCATGTGCATGCACACTAGCCAGCTGGTCTTCACACATGCATGTGCGCCAAAAACCAGAAGACCAGGTGGCCAGCAAGAGGTGCATGCACCTACACAGCAGAGCCAAGCTGGGTAATGGCATGCATTCCCACAGACAGGGCTCTGCGTGCTACCTGTGGCATGTGTGCAACAGGTTCGCCATCATGGGTATATAACAAGGTTCGTGTTTTGGAGTCCCATTCCTCAAATATTTAAAGGCAGGTGTATTATAACAACCCAAATAGCTCCTGTGCCCTCCCCTCAATTACACCTTTCCAAGCAATCCTTTTTTGGCACATGCAATAAGAGGTGATTCTAAGCCCTGCTTAGTTGTGACTAGATCCTGAACGTTAGAATAAATGATTGGCAGTCACCGAAGCAACAATATCATTTCATGGCCTTCCAGACAGATTTGTAAGGATCCACCGCCTGGAGTCGGTGCTTCTGCAAAAGAGCCTCGGCGTCTTTTTTGTCTTCCAAAGGGTTTTCGCCATACTTTGCTTTAAGCCAGTCTCGGAACTGGAAAGAGTGAAGCACAAGAGACAATTCAGAAAGGTTTAAAGGAAACTGGGTAAGAATAGCTTACACATTAAGTTTTGTCTAAACTTCAAGAGACAACACTCGAGTTAGTCGGTAAACGTTAATAATACAACACACATAAGAAGTGGAATTTCACCTTATACAGGTACACTGGACTTCACCTTATACAGGTAGTTCTCGACTTATGATCACAATTGAGCCCAAAATTTATGTCACTAAGTGAGACAGTTGTTCAGTGAGTTTTGCCCCATCTTATGACTTTTCGGGCTGGATTTGGGGCTTGGGACATTTAGATTAGAAGAACCAGGGACAGAAACATATATTTAAGTCTTTTCTATAGTTTTCTTCTACAAACATATATTGCTTACCGATATAATAAAACACTGAAGCCTGTGTGTCTACCATCAAAAAAGCAATTTTTAAGTAAGCAAAGAAGCCTGTGGAGACTATAATATATAGGATTATTAATCTTGATTATTGTTAGCTGTGAGACTTGAATCCTCTGAAAACAAGTGTAAGAACAAGGGCCATCCTGGGTCTTCAACAGTGCTGGCAATTTCTATTCAAAACAGCAGCATGAATGCAAAAAAAAATTTTTAATCGTGCCGATCACCCCTCCTATATGAAACATTACCAATCATTTCATTTCTAATTAACACAAGTTTACCATACTAAAGATTTGTTTTTATTCAAATGTTATTCAGCATCAATTTGATATTTTGGCAAAATGAGTTCTGTCATTTATGCAAACACAAGATAAACATCAAAGATCTGAAGTTGGGCTGAAGCCCTTCATGGAATACTAATTCTAGAAATGCTGTTCTTGGAACATGAGCACTAGAAATGGTACCAGAGGCGTGAAAAAATGTATAACTAATTTACAGCTTCTCGCTTTTAAAGTTGTAGCAACATTTCGGCAGAATCTCATCTGCCATCATCAGGCTTCTGTATTGTGTTCGTCTGTGAGTTTAAAAGCACAACTATAATGACGTGGGAAAATACCCGAACAAAGCTGAATGCCACACACACACACACACACACACACACACACACATATATACACAAACACACACACACACACACACACACACACACACACA